TGTGACATTCCCAAGTTTGCAAACCTGTGACATTCCCAAATTTCCAAACCTATTCCTGAATTTACAAAGAATTCAGAAGCAATTTGGTTTTTTTTGTTTTATTTTTCCACCCATCCCAACCTTTTCATGGATGTCAAATCCACCTTTCCCTGACAGAAATCCCAGGGGTTCCTGTGGATGGAATTCCAGGGTTTTGGGGCAGATGTGGCTAAAAATCAGATTATTTCCTAAAAAAAAAGTGTGGATAATGGGAGAGTGCAGATCTGACCTGGGGACAAATTGTGAGGGAATGTTTTGGGAAGAAATGGAAGGAATTTCTTGTGGAATATTTGGGATAGTGGAAGGTGATCCCATGGCAGCTGGAACTGGGTGATCCTTAAGATCCTTTCCCAAACTATTCCCTGATTCTTATCCCAAAATCCAGGATAATTCTGCCACTTGGTTTTCCAAGAATTCCAACCGTTTCCTTTGTTTAATGTTGGAAAAAAAATCCTTTTGTCTTTTTAATTGGAAATTTAAATTTCCTTTTGGAGAGAGAAGAATTCTCCTGATCTGTTGCTAATGAAAATATCGTTATATTGGAGAAAAAAAAAAGGATTACATTCCCAGCTGGATTTTTCCTTGGAAAAATAAAAAGGATTTCATTCACAACTTGATTTATTCCATGGAAAATGAAAAGGATTTTATTCCCAGCTGGATTTTTCTTTGGCAAAAAAAAAAAGGATTTTATTCACAGCTGGATTTTTACTTGGGGAAAAATAGGTTTTATTCCCAGATGGATTTTTCTTTGGGGAAAAAAAAGGGATTTGGTTCCCAGCTGGATTTTTCCTTGGAAAAATAAAAAGGATTTAATTCACAACTTGATTTATTTCATGGAAAATGAAAAGGATTTTATTCCCAGCTGGATTTTTACTTGGGGAAAAATAGGATTTTTTCCCAGATGGATTTTTCTTTGGGGAAAAAAATAAGGATTTTATTCCCAGCTGGATTTTTACTTGGGGAAAAAAAGATTTCATTCCCAGCTGGATTTTTCTTTGGGGAAAAAAAAGGGATTTGGTTCCCAGCTGGATTTTTCATTGGAAAAATAAAAGGGATTTCAATCACAACTTGATTTATTCCATGAAAAATGAAAAGGATTTTATTCCCAGCTGGATTTTTCTTTGGCAAAAAAAAAAAAAAAGGATTTTATTCCCAGCTGGATTTTTCTTTGGGGAAAAAAAAGGGATTTGATTCCCAGCTGGATTTTTCCTTGGGAAAAAAAAAAAGGATTTCAATCATAGCTTGATTTATTCCATGGAAAATGAAAAGGATTTTATTCCCAGCTGGATTTTTACTTGGGGAAAAATAGGTTTTATTCCCAGATGGATTTTTCTTTGGGGAAAAAAAAGGGATTTCATTCCCAGCTGGAATTTTTCCTTGGCAATCTTGCCCTCGGGCGCAGCAGGGAGGTGAGCAAAGCTTGGAGCTCTCAGGTGAGTCAGGAATCCCGGGGCTGGAGACAAATCCAGGCCTGAAAACCTCGGGAAGTGACGGCTCCGCCTGTGCTGCCCTGCCAGGCCTTGGCTTCGTTTCCTACTCCATACAAATCCTGGAATTCTTAAGGAATTTTCATTTTGGGAACAGCCTCTCTTGTGTTTTCCTTTAGCTTCAAGGTTTTTTAAAAAAAAAACTTGGAAGAGAAAAAAAACTGAGGGGAAAAAATTCCTCCCTGAGGGGAAAAA